TCGTCGTCGCCGCCGCCGCCACCATCGTCGTCGTCGTCGTCTTGTCGTCCAGTCGTAACCGCCGCTTTCGTCGCCGCCGCCGCCATCGCCATCTTCGTCATCGTCGTCGTTGTCGTCCAGTCGTAATCGCCGCTTTCGTCGCCGCCGCCGCCGCCGTCGTCATCGTCGTCGTCGTCGTTTTGTCGTCCAGTCGTAATCGCCGCTTTCGTCGCCGCCACCGCCGCAGTCGTCGTCGTCGTCGTCGTCGTCGTCGTCGTCGTCTCGTCGTCTCGTCGTCTCGTCGTCTCGTCGTCCCCTCGTTTCGTCATCTCCTCGTCCAGTCGTAGTCGCCGCTTTCGTCGCCGCCGCCGCCGTTGTTGTGGTCGTCGTCGCCGCCGTCGCGGCCATCGTCGTCGTCGTCGTCGTCGTCGTCGGCGTCAGCGTCGTCTTCTTGTCGTCCAGTCGTAATCGCCGCTTTCGTCGCCGCCGCCGCCATCGCCATCGTCATCGTCGTCGTCGTCGTCGTTTTGTCGTCCAGTCGTAATCGCCGCTTTCGTATCCGCCGCCAGGTGTCGTCGTCGTCGTCGTCGTCGTCGTCGTCGTCGTCGTCGTCTCGTCCTCTCGTCGCCCCCTCGTCTCGTCATCTCCTCGTCCGGTCGTCGTCGCCGCTTTCGTCGTCGCCGCCGCCGCCGCCGCCGCGGGCGCCTGGCGCCGCGCCCCGCTGCGCCCGCGCGGCGGCTGGCACCATCACCTGTCTGGCCTCCGCCACGGCGCCCAGCGGCCCGTGCCGGCCGTGCACCCCGATCCGCTGGCCCCCCCCCCCGCCGGGGCGGAGAGGCCCCCCGAGAGGCGGCGGGCCCCGCCCGCGCACGACGGAGGGCGCAGGAGGGCGTCAGGCCGACGCTCGAGGAGGGGGAGCGGTGGAGGAAGGGGGGCGTCGTTCGTCGTGGAGGAAGGGGGGCGTCGTTCGTCGTGGAGGAAGGGGGGCGTCGTTCGTCGAGGCGTCAAGCCGACGTTCGTCGTGGAGGAAGGCGTCAAGCCGACGTTCGTCGAAGAGGGCGGGGGCGGGAGAAAGGGGATCGAAGGAGAGCGACGGGGGGAGACGACGGTCGGGGCGGGAGGCGGCGAAGGCAGGAGCAAAGGGGGAGAGGGGGGGACACGAGGGGGAGGACGAGGATAAAGAGGCGCAGGGGGACGACGAGGGCGACCAGGAGTACGAGGAGCAGAGAGGAGGGAAGGAGGGACAGAGAGCCAGGGGACGGAGGGGGCAGCAGGAGGGGGGAGAGGGACAGCAGGAGGATGACGGGCAAACTCTCGATTGGACGCAGCCACAGAGGGCTCCAACGGCCAAGTATCCGAGGGGGTACCCAGCTGCGGTGGCCCAGTGAACCCCGCAGCCCCCCAGTCCTCCACGACGGCGCGGGTTTGGCCAAGTGCCTGGGGGCGCCAACGCGCCTCGCGGCCACCGCCAGGCCTCGGGCGGGCCCGCGGGGCGTGAGGCCCCTCCCGCCGCGCACGGCGCGCGGCGAAGTCAGCGCCCTCGGCGCCTGCCTGGCCGAGGCAGGCCCCCCCTCCGCATGCAGGTTGAGCAGGGGCCGCCAGGAATGCCAGGGTGGCGGTTGCTGGCTCGCCTTCCGCGCCCGCGGGCGCCACGCCACGTCGGGTGCGCAGCGGGCCCAAGACGCGCCCCCGCCGCGCCCTGGCTGCACCCGCAACCCATGGTCTCGTGCCAGGGCGCGTCCGAGCTCGGGAGGCCGTGGCCGCCGACCGCGGCCGAGGCGCCGACGCGCTGGCCGCATCAACCGCCACCGCCGCCACGGGCGCGTCCAGGGCCGGCGCCTCTGCGGCCCTCGCCGAGCCCGGCGGGGTCGAGGAAGGCTGCGCCCTCCCTGAGGTGGACCGCGAGGAGGCAACTGCGGTTCGGTCGCCTTGCGCCGCTGCTCCGGGCGTCGGCAGCCACAGCAACAGCAACATCCACAGGGCAAGCAGCGGGGGGCCACCACTGCTGCGACCGCCCTCGCCGTCAGCCTCGAGCTCGCCAGCAGCCCCTGGACGGGCGTCAGGAGGACCTCCGACGCCGGCCGCGGCGCCAAGCCCGCCAGCTGCCCCCGCGTGGCCGCCGTCGCCACCACCGTCGCGAGGGACACCGCCAAGAAGAGGATAAGGCTGACTGCTGGCCGGGGTCGTGGTCCAGGAAGCCGCTGGTGGGGCGCTGCGCAGACGCCCAGCGTGGGCCTTCCGCTGGCTGCCAGGGCGTCGCCCAGCCTGGGAGGTCCCTCTAGGGCGACGCACTGGCGGCACTTCCCTGCCCTCTGGGCCCCCTGTGGGCGGCTGCTTGCCCCTAGGCCTGCGCCCTGGCGGGGGTGGCCTGGAGCGGCCCCTCCACTGCGAGGGGCCGAGGCTTCCCAGGTCGCAGCGCCTGTTGGGGGAGGGCCTCGGCGAAGGCACCCTCACCGCGCACTGGGAGAGCACCCGGGGCGAGGCCCCCCTGGGCGGCAGCGTCCGCGGCGGCCGCCGCTTCCAGGGCCTGCAGCACCCTTGGCAGGATGGGACGCACCCGTCCAGGATCCTGCGCAACATCTCGCCTGGCTTGCGCGTGGAGGTCCTGTCGCGCCGTTCCCTCAGCGCTCTGCCGACGCCCGTGGCGTAGGCGCCGCAATGCGTGCAGACGACGAGCGAGAAGCGCGGCCACTCGTGGAGGTTGTGGGCCAGGTAGAGCTGCAAACGGCCAATGGGCACACAACCGAGGTGCGGCACAGCCAGTGTCTGATCACGGGTGGCGACCTGCTGGACCTCGCGGCGGCTTTCCGCGGCGAAATCGAGGAGTTCCGACTTGGGGCAGAAGCCGCGGCATTGGATGCACTTTCGCTGGGCTCCAATAGGAGAAGGAGCCGGAGTAGCAGCAGAAGGCCGAGAATGGCTTTTGTTCCCCTGAGGACGGCGGTGGGCGCCGAACTGTCGCTCGGCGGCGACGCCGAGGGGCCCCTCTGGTGAGGGCGATGCCCGCCGCGGACACCACGACGGACAAATGGAGGCCGGCGACGCACTGGCCGACCCCGACGAGCAGGCCGACGCCCGGCAGGCCGCAAGCGGCACGGCGGCCGAGGGGAGGCGCAGAGCGCCGCCGAACAGGAAAGGGCAGGGCGTACGTACGGGATCAGCCACCAGCCCCACGACGGCGGTCCAGTCGGGCGCGCTGGCCCGTGCGGAGCAGGGGGCGCGGGAGCCAGAAGCAGCAAGCAGCAGGCTCACAGACGCCAAGTGATGCTCCCAGGAGCGCGGCCCAAAGCCGCGCTTGATCAGTGCGAGCGCTTGCCAGGAGCGTCTGAGCACCCCAGAAGCGGCCTCCTGGATGCAGAAAGCCACCGCCCGACCCCTGCACACCGAACGGCATCATCAGGGAGAGGCTCAACATACAGTCGAGGCGTTGACCTAAGGAACCCTAAATGAGGAACGAGGCCCCTTTTTCCTACAAGTTCAACCTCGATTTCCCATGGAAAACCTCAGGAAAACCCGAGGCAAACTGTGAAACAATCAAGGAACACGGAGCCCCTCCCCAATGGAAAGGGTTCCTTCTTCTGCGCCCCGACTGTAGGCCATCCAGGTGCGCAGAGGAGGCCACGATGTGCCCTTGCAGAAGATCAGCGATCGCCGTCTGCGCCACATGGGTGTCCGCACGGCAAGGCTCGCGACTGTCCCGGCAAGGATCGAGACACTCACAGCGATGAGGAGACGCCCCCGGCACATGCAGGTGCCAGTCAAGCGTGCCCTGGATGGTATACAGCTCGCACGTTTTCATCGCGACGAGGCGCACGAGGATCATCAAGACGAGGAGCGTCTGGATGAAGCCGTTCACCAGCACGATCATAAACATGTCCTCGGCCAGGCTCGAAATACTCACGACGAATCTCCCCATCAGGAACACGAGACGCCTCCAGCAGGGTCAACTGCCTGTCAAACATGCGCTGGATGGTACTGCGCACGTCCTCCTTCACGAGGGAAGGCATGAGCACAGCCAACGGACAGTACATCATTACGAAGAAAACCGAGGTCATAACGAAGACCAGGAGGGAAAAAACTCCAGGGCGTTCGAATTGACGAGGAATTTCAACACCGCCGGGAAAGGCAAAGAGCTAGCCCAAGGATCCCGAAGGGGATCGAGCCAAGGATCTGCATCAGCACGAGGATCCACAGCACCATCCGCCTGAGGTTGTTGACGAGGGGCTTTTCGAGGTGGGGGGCAACGAGACCCGAACAGCTGATGACCATGGATCACCACCAGGTCGAAACCATGGGTCCTCTTGCCGATCCTCATCTTCACGCGGACGCCGTCGACCGGGGGATCGTCTCCATCATGAGGGTCGTCGCAAGGGGCATGACCATCATCACCAGCAGGCGGGTCCTTAGACAGAGGGCCATCAATCCAGACGCAAACTTCCTGGCGTCCATCAGGATGACGATGCCCACGATCGGTCAAAGAACAATGCCTGGCCACAACGAGTACCTGGTCGATCAAGCCGAGCATGAGGATCCGAGATGATGGTTACGACGCAGGAGGCGAGCTGTACAGCATGATCTTGAACTTCGTCCTCAACTGCACCGCAGAGGAACTCCCAGAGATGTGCACCAAAGCGCCTGCCTCAACCTGGCGCCGAACCCATTCCAGCCGAGCAACGACCACCATGGCAGGAGAAGTGCAGAGTGGCGGAGGGTGCGCCCAGCAAACCACGAAGATCAACAAATGCTTGAGCCTAAATGGCTGGCAGCTGGCCTAGAATGATGATGATGATGATGATGCTGATGATGATGATGATGATGATGATGATGATGCTGCTGCTGCTGCTGCTGCTAACGCTGCTGATGATGATGAGGAGGACGAGGAGGGTAAAGAGGAGGCTGGCAGAAGCAGGAAGAGGAAACCGACGGGGAACCGCAACAGAACCATCGCACCGGAGCTGCAGCCCTCGACTCGCCATCGCTCGGACGTCCACTCCCTGTGTTCTTCTGGATTTCGTGCGTGGATCTTCTCGCCAAACGATCAAGGATGCTCCTCGATGGTCCTCGCCGAAGAAAACATGCACACGTCCGAGCGATGCCAAGTCGGCTTCGCAGGAGCGGACCGCTCAGCGCGCCGATACTTGGGGGGCGGAAAGGTACGGATACGTGTTGTCCCCGGACCTCCCTTGGGGTGCGCTCTGACCAGAATTCCGAGGCGAATCCAGCGGTGACAACGAGGATTCCCCAGGAGGACCAGGAAAGGCCGAAAAAACGAAGGGGGCAACACGTATCCGAATCTTTTTTTCTCCCCCGAGGTACGTCCGCTCGGATCGACTCGCAGACGCAGGCGGCCAGTCGGGGGCCGCCCGCGCGGCCCCCGGCAGGCAAGAGGCGGCCCCCGCCGCTGGCGCGCCGACGAGGACCAGGAGGGAACGAGGAGCATACTCGCTGCTTTATGGGGTTTTGGGTCTGGGGAGGAGGAGGAGGAGGAGGAGGAGGAGGAGGAGGAGGAGGATGAGGAGGAGGGGAGGAGGGTGGTGATGAATAGGGGCCCACGTGCGAGCCCTACCCCTACCCCCACGATTTCTGAGGGGGAGGGCGGGGTTCACTTCGCGCGGGAGCTCCCGAACAAAGCGAACCCCACCCTCCCCCTCAGAAATCGTGGGGGGTAGGGGTAGGGTTCGCATGTGGCCCCCTAATGAAGATGAGGATGGGGAGTACGTGTGGTGACAGAGATGAGAAACACGAGGG